GGCTTATTGAACTTATTAAGGGTTCAGGCCCGGGGAAGTTTCTCGATAAGTTTTCAGGAGGTTCTCGATGTTTTTCATTTTGCGCTTTAATAAATTCAATTTACAGGACCCTTGAGGGTTTAGGGATTAGGGTTTAGGGTTTAAGAGCCGTATTAGACTGGGGACGCAGGGGCCACAATTTTGACCACCAACCAAATGGAAGGTGGAATGGAATTTCGAGGTATATAAGGAAGGTTAACAAGAAGAGAACATGGAAAATTATCTGGGATCGGGTACTAAGCCTCTCAAAAAGGAGCCCTGTAACTATCATATTTTGATTACCGTAACCCTAAACTCTAAAACCCTGGACCCTCTTGTGTTATGGATCCCCTCCAGTATAAACCCATATAAGCTATAGTCTAAACTCCTAGTATCCCCCTTAATAACCACTATAGTAGTCCTCTATATAATCCCTTATATAACCTTCTTTAAGGAGTTTAGACTGTAGTTCATAAAATTTTCAGAAGGACCTGGGAACCTACTCGGATGGCCTTGAATATCTTACGAGAAGAGGTTTGAGGCACAGGCTGCAGAGTTTAGGGTTTTGGGATATGCCGCAATGAGAAAGGGGCTGTTATAGGGGTCCCCCGTGATCGAACAGGAGATATTTTGAGAAGCCCCAATTTCGACCTGGTGCTGAAGTATTCAGAAAAAATCTCTGGCCCTCCCCAAAACAAACTTGGGGATTCCCTCCAAAAGGGCTACTGTTCCCATACCAGAGTCAAAACGGGTACTATGCAAGCTTGGGAGAGTCAACCTCACCCTACGCCCCCAGCCCCAAAACCCCAATGCCTTAACGTCCTAGGCCCTGAAAACCCTGAACCCTCCTGTGGATAAACGAAGTCTTGCACTACCTAACATAACCTATACATTGGGTACTGCCCCCACCCAGTAACAGTCTATATCAGGGGTTTTATTTAGGGCTATACATAACCATATCATAGTTATTATCCAGCTGTTACTGAAGGGGGGCAGTACCCAACCTATACACCGACAATTCCAGTATTCAGAGGTGCAAGGTGTTCTCCATCCCTCTTAGGTCCACAATTTTCTTCAGGGGGCTCAAAAGCTAAACGATCCCTGGTGTAGATTCTACTATATTGGGGCGTATTTCCTTTACACCACCTACCTTCATCCCACCTTTTGAGCCCCCTAATTTACCCTAAACCCTAAACCCTAAACCCTAACCCCTAAACCCACCGAGCATCTCCTAGCCGCTTCATCTTTGCAAGGCACTCCTGCAATCCCGCAGGGCTCCTTCTCGACAAGCGAAGAGTGGAGGCTTTAGGGATTAAGGTTTAGGGTGTCTCAGTGAGGGGGTGCGCTGGTACTGGAAGCACCCAGGCGCGCACCCTAACCTGCATGAGCCCACCCCCGCTGGCGCTCCACCCTTGCCTTGACCTTTACGGGCTTAGGGTTCTCTAGAACTCTGATCGCGCTCCTGTATTCTTATTTGTTCTTTGCAGCCTGTCTAGCTTGCCCGGCACCCATCTAGAACAGGCGGGTGCGCGGTTTGGGCTGGCTCTGGGTTCAGGCTTCTTGTGTTTATTGGGATTGAGATGGAGGCCCTCGAGCCCTGAACGGGGTGGACTTGTCCAGACTATGGGTTCCGGGTCCGGGGTTCAAGGCTTTGGGTTCATTAAACCCCCAAGGTTTGGCACTGGGTCAGGATTTGGCGGGCTTTGGGCACCTTTTTCGACCTCTGTCAAAAGCTGAGCAGGTGCTGAGGCAGTCACTGCTTGCCGATCATAGGCCACAACAGGCTTGAGGTTTACAATGGGAAATGAAATGGAACCTCACACGTGAAAAACAAGGGCTCTATACTATAGGGACCAGCAATGGGTTCCAATTATCCAGACAAGCCAGCAGTATGTGGGATTCAGTCGGATGATGTCACTGGAGTCTTCCCCTGAAACCCACACCCCCAAAAAAGCCCAGGCCCTAAATCTTACAACTCCCTAATCCCTCAAACCCTATAAACCCTATAATCCCTCAAGCCCTATTAACCCTATAATCCCTCAAGCCCTATAAGCCCTAAACCCGAAAATCCCTCAAACCCTATAAGCCCTCAACCCTATAATCCCTCAAACTCTATAAGCCCCAAACCCTATAATCC